CTTAGTTGGCATCAGCCATTACTACTGTACCAGGAACCTTGCCCAGCTTAGGCACGAGTTCTCCTCCAACGAAGTCTGAAGCCTATCTCGCTCCATTTGAAGACACAGGAAACAACCGGGCACCATCTGCCCACACACTACCCAGTATACACTCCAGGGGGCAGAACAAGGGGACCGGAGGAACCCTTGGGGTTTCATTTTAGCTGTCACACTTACTATCTTTTGTGATCTTATAGAGCCCATTTAATATAACTTGGGCTTCTTTCCTCTATTTTTAAAAATGAGAAAGAGAGTTGATTTGGGGAGGAAGACTTATAAAAATGCAAGGAGGAAGTAAATTATTATTACCTTTTCCCCAAGGACCACTTAGTGCTCACAGGTACTCCAGGTGCAGAAAGCAATAATAATGATAAATAGAGCATTTTCTCTGATAAAGCACTTCCATGGGCTGACAAGTGAAATGCTGGGCACAGAAATGGAGAAGTTACCTTGAAGCACTGACACATGGTATTCTTTCCCTGCATAAGAAGAACTGGTCTAACAAAGGCAACGCTTCCCCAGGAAAATCAAGTAGGCCCAGCTCTGACCTTCTAGAAGCTTCCAGTCTAGAGGAGAAGGCAGGCAGAAACCCAACCATTTTATTTTAATGTAACAAGAACCACAAGGGGTTTCCACAGAGGACTATGGAAGGAAGGAGAAGAGACACTTACACTAGTGTATGAGGAGGGAGGTGAAGGAAATTCCAGCCCAAGAGAAGGAAGCTGAGTAGGGAGGGAGGCAGCCACACCAAACATGTGGGGCAGGGATGGTCATTGCAGAGTAGAAGAGCATAGGAGTTGTGAGGGGGCAGGGCAGAGAACTCCAGCCCCTCAGTGTGGCTGGAGTCAAGAGGCTGTGGAAGAGATAGAGGGGGAGAGCCAGAGCTGTCTCCAGCCATGATGAAAACAGAGGCCTCTGTTCCACCATGTCTGCACATCTGGCAGTGGCCATAGCTAAGCTACTGAAGTATTTCGCTGATGAATATAACCTTCAAAACTTTCTTGAGTATAAGGAGTGTCCTCACAGTCTCCACCTGGACCAAGGAGTGGTAAGGTCACGGCTTATGGGCCTATAGTCTTGAGATCTGGAGACCAAATGGTCTCCAGATCTCCCACACACCTTGGCACCCTCCATCTTCCTCTCTGTTCACCTGCCTCTCCTCTGTATCCTGTACAACCTCCCCGATGCCTTTCTGCCCATCCTCTGCCCTCCCTACATCCCTTAGACAACCAGAAACACACTCAGAGCAGGCACAGCAGCCACTGTGGCATTTGTGAGTCAGCTTCCCATCATGATAACAAATCCCTGAGATAATCAACTTATGATAAGTTCATTTTGGTCTATTAGAGGTTCCAGTTCATGACTGGGCAGACCCATTGCTTTGGGCCTGTGCTGATGCAGCACATCATGGCAGGAAGTGTGTGGCTTAGCCAGGAAGCGGAAGGGTAGCCAGGGTCCCACAGTGCCCTTCAGAGCAATGCCCCAATGAGGCTAAAACAGGCTCCCAAAAGGCCCCACGCCTTATAGGTCATACCATCTCCTCTTAGTAACACCCTAGAGACTAACCCTTTTATATGTGAGACTCTGAGGGACACTCAGATCCAAACTCCAATATGGAGTAAGGGTGCCTTTAAATCTGCTGCTGGTTCTGCCTCCCTCCTTTCAGTTGGTAGATTCATCAGCTTGTGCATTTGGGATCCCTTTGGTGATTTGGGTTGAAGAAAGAGGCCCAGAGGCCTAGTGATAAGAACATCTCTTTTTATGAATTGAAAAATAAAATAACAGTAAGAAGTAGCAGGTCCCAGTTCACAATGAAATGAATATCAATGTCTGTGGTCACACTGTCCTTGAAGATTAAAAAAAAGAACTAGAATTCTTGGGGTACATTATGATATACATTTTGAATCTCTTGTGTATACAAAGCAGAAAATCTATCCTTTATGGACATGAGCATCTCTAGTATGCAGCTCGATATTAAAATAAACCTTCTCAAGTGCAGGTGGAGGAAAATCTATGGCCACATTTACCTATATTCTTCCCTGTCAACACAGATCACCGCACTGCTTCCCTGCGCTCTGCTGAGGTGGGACAGAGCTGAAAGTCATACTGCAAGGAAGGGCTCTCGCTTTCCTTCCAGTTGTGAGAAAGGCATTGATGGCATGACAGGCTGGAAAAACTGCCAAGTCTAACAAAGGCACATCTTGCCCAGGAAAATCAAGAGGACCTAGTTCTGACCTGCATTCTTGACTTTATAGTTGACTTTCATAGTTTGGTTTCCGATACTCGGGACTGAGTGTGATTTCTGATCCACTCTCACCATCTGGGCAAACCATCCTAGGGTAATGCAACATGAAAACCATTAGAGAATCACCTTAAATCCTCTGGTTAGAAGCTACTGTCAAGTCCCTGTGGATTTCATGTCAGGAGTGTTCACTGGGGAGTGGCAAATGGGATCCAGGTGCCATAAAGCAATATTCTCAAAGCTTAGTGGGCTTCAGAAGCAGCTGGAAGGCTTGTTAAAACACAGGTGGCTGGAACAAGCCCCAGAGTATCTTATTGAGAAGGTGCTCTGGGGCCTGAGATTTTGCATTTCTAATAATTTCCTAAGTGAAGGTGGTGCTGGTGAAATGGGTGACCTCTAGAACCACAGACAGAGACTCCAGGAACCATAGGAAAGCCCTGACACACCCTTGATGGATGGAAAGAGAAACCTGGTGGGAACATGTAAACTAAGTCCATATCTGCAAGAAGAGGAATATACTGAACCACTAAGATTCTCTTCCCACTGTAATTGTGAACAAGCAAATCTAGTAGATTTTATATTATTTCTCAAGTCAAAATCATGTGAAGAAGGCAATTTAACCCCCCAAATCCAACAGTGCATACAGTATCAAGCTTTTTAAAAAGCAGAGTCAGGTGGTATTCTGTGGTACGAATCTTAGAATATCTGTTGATTATGACACAGCTATGTAGCTTTGCTATTATTTTCACAGAAAAACAGCAGACAAAAGTAGTTTTTCTGGATGGTGTCTGTTGCTTCTGACCAGCTCCAGCATTCAGTTATTTTCACCTGTGAAACCCAGATTTCTATCTGTGAACACCTCTGCCTTAGTTTTATGAAGAGAAAACCCAAAGCAAACCTCACGCCTGCAGAAAGGGATACCCATGCGGATCTGGAGCCAGCAACAGTTGACAGAGAGCCACTGATGTGATCAGTGTGGCCCACTGAGGGCTCAGGCTGTGAGATAAAAAGAAGAAATGTGATGCTGAGATGTATCTGCCTTGGGTTCTCCCTTTGTATTCCTCTGATTCCATGGAAAGGGGCTTTTAAAATTTCAAAGAACTTTCATGCCTTGCTAGTTTATCATGAGTGTCTATCTTAAGCTGATATTATGATTTTAAGCGTGGCCTTGGTGGAGACGTGCCATCTTCCAAAATGGTTTCTGATGTTAGGGAAGTCGCACCTGCTGCAGCCAAAGCGAGGAGAATCACAGGCTGAACGACATTCAGGCTCTCCTGCGCTCCAAGAGCCTTTTTTATTTCTTCTTAACGACCATTATTAATCATTTCAGAACCATGTAGTCTCCTGACATTTTTACTATTCTAGACTTGACAAAAAGAAGGATTTTGATGTCCTGGAATGCCTTTTTATGTAGAATAGCTCCATTCTTAAAGCATGCATCTAACACAAGGCTAACCTCTCCCTAAGCAGAATGAGGTTTAATTTTTTTTTTAAAAAACCACTGAAGGGGAGTTAGGTGGTGATGGATTCTTGCTAAGAAATAAGCATTTGGCTTTCAAAACCTTAAGCTGAACTATAGCTGAGTAGTGGAAGTAAAGAGTTACTGCTAGCCATGTAGGAAAGCTACTCAGCTTTTGGGGAGAGAGTTTTTCATCCATTTTTATCAGCTCTTCTTCCCAAGTCTTACAAGTTATAAACGGGGAGAAGCATAGGTTGGCCAGGGGTTTTGTGGTTTGCTGATAGTCACCCAGCTGCCAAAGCACCACTGTGACTGGGATTCACAGTGGCAGCAAGGGCTTTGGGGTCTATACACAGGTACCGCACTGGCCATTCTGTCTCACCACCTGTGTGACCTTTGGGCAAGGTCATGAAATCTATCTAAACCTCAGTAGTTTTCATTAACAAATGGCTAGCTATGAGGACAGAATAAGGGGACACATGCAGGCTCAGCAAAGGACCTGTCCACAGACAGTGACAGCACCTCCCTACAGCTGATCCCAATTCAGCAACTGCACAGTGCTGGGGCACAGAAAGAAATGTCATGAACCCAGAGTACTGAGGCCATTACAGGTTTTGATTTTTTTCTCCCAACTGTCTCTATGCCCATTCAATTTTCCATGAAGGGAATCCCAAAGCACTAGGGGGAAGTCTGGCTTGTGCCAGAAGGTGGGGTGCAGGTGGCCAAATCAAGGAGGCCAGCAAAGAAGCAAAGAAGAGTTTACATAACTCATTGGTATAACATCGTTTAATTTGGGGAGCTCAGTCACTATTAATTCCAGCAAGTTCTCAAACTATACAGCTCTACAGTTCCTTTCTGACCTGTAGCACATCAGATCTTCAGTCTATGGTGATGCACGGCAAAGCTTATGCCAAAATTTTTCTTCTCTGATGTGAGATGCTGAGAGGCCACCTGCAATTTGCTAGTAGAACTATCAGTACAACAAGGAGGGCAATCCTACCTTCTCTCCAGCCACACTGCCCTCTCCCCAGGAAACAGCGAGTGTGAAGACACACGGAGTAGGTGGCAGCTCACCTCACTCCGGAGAAAGCAGCAAGGGACTCTGACGGTGAGTCAGCTGAGGGATGTTGCTCAGGTCTGGGCAAACCTCCCAGAAAATCTCACTGGCAGTCCAAATGCACAGAAAGGTCAAATAACATGTGAGGACTCCAGGCCACAGGAGTGGCTGGTGCTGCCAGCAGCTCAGGCCACACAGACCACACAGGCAAGGAGAGCACTTCTCCAGTGGTGGCCTCGGCGCTTCTTCATCCTGCCTGTACTACCTCATGTAATGCTGCATATGGATCGACTCTGGGGTCTCAAAAGACAGAAAGGACTAGTTGCTGTATCTTTGGCTGTTAAGGAAAAGACAACAGGGCCAGCAGGACTCCCCAGCTGTCCCTGCTGTGGAGCACAGAGCACCGGCTTCCAGCTCCTGCCACCAAGACCTGTTGACCTTGCCTAGAGGAACAACCTCCTGACAGCCCTGGCTCATGGCGATGCTTTCCTGATGGAGCCATTAGAAATGAGTAATTCTGCCCAGAGGTGAAAACAGAGTAGTAAGTACCTGCCTGGGAGATCGGGAATGCTACAGCTTCATCTGAGCATCTGCTGGTTCGCTTTTTCGGCACAGGGATGGAGGGGAGCAACAATGGCAGCAGCAGTAGTGACTCCTGCAAGGTGAAAGGGACTCATGCCTGGCAGAGGGGTGGTGGGTGCTGCCAGTCCCCCAGCGTGGAGGCCGGACATTTGGCACTCACAGAGAAACATCATCCCTCACTGCAGGGACACCCACATCGCACGCCGAGGCTCCCCACTCTCTTCTTTGTAGTTCTTCCAAGCCCCTCTGATCATTTTTAATTGTACCCACTTAGATCTTGCCACTTTTCGTAGGGATTCCCTTTAACACTGCCCTCACACCCAGCAGAATAGGAGAGCAGAACCTTGGCTTATTTGAGAACCACCGCCATCTGAAACGTTGCCCTCCCCACTTAGAGGTGGATGAGCACAGCCTCCTGCCTCCTGCCCACCATGCCCCTGTCTCCTATCCAGGTTTCTCTGACCTCAGTTCCAGGCAGCCGGCATTATGGTCTCAGCAGCCAGCGTTGGGCTCACTCCTGGGCTTTGCAAGCGCTGCTGCTGCCACCATAAGGCCAACTTGAGAACTGCAGCCTTCACCAGGCGTCATATCCCCACGCATTTTGTTCTCCTGCATCAAGAGTAGGTCCTCTTTCCACGGCTGCCCCGCACACTGGGTCAGCATCCTACCTAGAAAAAGGCTTCAGAAGCTGTATCCTTGAGGGCAAGGGTGGTCCCCAGCATTCATAAATGAGACACAGGGAAGTGTAGGTCCCACAATATAGGTTACCAAGCCACTGGGGAACTAACTGGTGGATTCTCTTTCAGAGCCACCAGGCCAGAGGGGCAGGAAAGGATGGAGGATCTCTTCTTGTGCCACACCCTGATGCATGCTCTAAGTTTATGTCCCCCTAATGCCTGCAAAATAAACCACCCAGGCCCCCGTGTGACTCCGAAGTTGTCATAGCTCCCAGCATTGCCAAAGGTGACAGGTGGACTGTCACACTGCACAGAGTGGAGTCACCTGTGACATTTGCAGGTGACTGACAGAAATGGGCACTGACACACACTAAAGGACAGAAGGGCATGGTGGCTTCTTGCTGAAGCCCAGGAGTGAGTGGCTTGCCAGAGGAAGTTTCTCTTGGCAGCATACCTGGTGACCTGATGGTCATTCAAGGCATCCCTCAGAGAGGAACAGCTTCATACTGGGGAAAACCAAACTTTAAATAGCCAGGTTCTTTCCTCTGCCTCTGGCCGGAAGCCCTCAGCATTTCTGCATGTGCTCATGATTATCACTGGTTCTACTTTCTTCTCCTTCTTCCATTATCTCTCACATTTCAGTCCAATATTTTAACATTTATTCTGTGTGCCCAATAGTGTACTAGCCACCAGTGATGATAAAAGATATGGCTATTTTAATCAACTAAGTAAGAGAAGAAAAGTCCCTCACTTCCTTACTCTTTGCGTGTGTGTGTGTGTGTGTGTGTGTGTGTGTGTCTGAGGAGGGGAGAACAGGTCCAAAAGGAACTACCCAAGCAGTATCTCCTTGATTACTCTTCATTACTCCTCAACACAAAGCGATGGCCTGTCACATGCCCAGGCTGGAGCTGCCAGGCACCTTCAGCCCTCAAGATAGAGCCAGTTCCCAGAAAGATGAAGGACTCAACTCAGAAAGAATCTGAACTCAAAAAGAAATCGTGCTACAATGCCAGGTTACCGTTCAAAGATCAGCTCTGGGAATTAGCTCCCTGATCTTCAGAGGGAACCCATAAAATCCCTTTCTATGTCTGGTCACTAAAAATTCCCATAAATTCTAAGAACATGAATTGTCTTACACCTCAGTTTAGGATCTTCTCATGCATTGTTTAGTGTTGATGGTCTGGAGCAGCTGGAACTACCAGCACCCTTAGAAGCATCAAAGCACATGAAACAGTGACCCAGATTGGGAAGGATTTTGGTCAAGCAAGATGCCCTCTCTGGGATTTGAATCACACCCTCCTTTCATTGCTATTGTGTTGAAAAGAGGTATTGCTTGAGAAAGTTGCACTTGGCAATTTGTGATTCTTTATACAAATGCTAATTATCATCATGATAAAAATACAATTACTGTTACCACTACCACAACCAATAACAACTAAAGGACTCTGCAGGGCACCTACAAGAAAAGGTACTAGCAAGGAGATCCAGAATCCATCATCTAGCTTCTAGAAGTGTGTTATCCGAAATATATGGGTTGTTGCTGAGAGATAATATCCAGGGAATTGTAGAGTAGGGAGACACTTTGGACATCAACCCATTTGGACTCTCAACCCATTTCTTAGGACCTGACTCTTGTATTCATGATGACCCGATATACTCTTAGAACTTTCAGCTCTAAGAGACTGCTCAGTGGAGTAGCCTTAGATACAAGACTTAGGTATACACCGTCTTGCAGAACAATAGTTACTGTCTATTTCTTGCAGAACAATTGGGAGTTTTGCTTTCCCACTGAGCTTGTCCTGCCAGCCCCCACCAATTCCTGGACAGAATAGAACAAAGCTCAGAACCCACAGGTAGATCTGATGATGTTCTGTGCTATTAAATGAAAGGTGACTTGGCACGGGTGACTTATAAAGCACGTCTAACATGTTCTGTGTGGAAGCATTTAACTTGTTACCTAGTTCATCCCAGAGCTAGTTTCTCTTGAGAACAAGAAAGACATCACCATCAAAATGTCCCCAGGTATCTCTTGCTTTCCCCACCCTCATCCTTATGTCCTCTTCAATTACCTACTCGTCCTCAATGTCAGGCTGTCACCAACTCTGTGGCCTTCAGGGGTCCCCAGAAACATGCCAACCCCAGTTCTTGATACACTCCCCTTCCTTACATGGTGGTGTGTACACAGCAAGCCCTGCTTGGGCACTGTGTGTTCTCATCCACATTCTATCCACACACCTCCTGTAAGCATTCACCTACCTACCACCTTTTGCTGTCTTCTCTCTGGAATGCAGACCAGTAGTGAAGGTAAGTTCCCCAGTATTATTCTTTTGCTCACTTTTCTACCCATTTATATAACAACTTGAAGGAAGAGAAGTCAGGAAGAGGAGGTGAGTCTATTTCCATTCAATTTTCCATTTTTTTTAAGCCCAATGTGAAACACAGCAAATACCAAGAAAAATAAATAACATATTGATCTCCGAACCCAAGATATTCAGAGGACTACAGACCCACCAGCTACTAATAGTGTTTTTAAAGTATTGACTTAATTCTGTCAATCCATTCTCAAAAGATATATCATGCTATTCAAGACCATTTCAAACCAGGCCCTTCCCATCCTTTCCTGGAGTTTACCACCCACTTCCCTAACCCACCCACATTCCAGTCATCCACACTACCCAGTGCTTCTGAACACACCACATTCTGTTCTGCTTTCCTGCCTTTGCAAGCACTGCAAGGCACAGCTTTGAACACTCGGTTCATGTCTCATCTGGAGAACTCCTAAGCATCCTTCACAGTCAAGCACAAGTGTCACCTCCCCTGTGATGTCCTGGGCTGTGCCAGCTGTTCTCAGAACACTCTGACAGCTCTGAGCTCACTGTGTTATACCTTAGTTCAGTGCCTGCTTGCCAACCAGTGAACTCTAGGGAGAGAAATATGGTTCTAGTCACAGCTACGTCGAAAGCGCCTGGCAAGTGTCTACCACAATATCCACAGTAACTTCTGGCTGAATGGCCAACAGCTGGGCTTCGGTGTCATAAAATGCCACTGATCATAAAAGAAGGAGTAACAAACTAGGTCCACTGAGACACCAGAATATGTGGAGTCCTGGAGGGAAAGTGTGGACTGTTTGTCATCACTGCTGCTCATAGTATCAGATTTCAAGTTCTTGTGTTGAAGACATAAGCTGGCAAGAATCGGAACTTGCAACAATCTTTCAGTGTGTGCAGGTCAAGGGGGCAGACTATTTGGATAATTCAGCTTGAAGTGCACATATCTTCTCTAAGACTGACACATGTAGGTCCTAGCAGTTTTAGTTTAAATATCATCCCCAAACCAGCCTCAGGTAGATCTGTGGGGCATTGCCTTTGAAGACAGGAGCATGTGGCAGGAGAAGGTGCTTTGAGGGAAGTGCCTGAAGACATCACCACACTTCAGCAGGAAGCTGTGTATTGATGTGCATGTGCATGTGCATGTGGAGTAGGGGGTCAAAAGGCCAAATGAAGGTTTCTAGGCTCCCAAGAAAAGCCTTCCTGGGAATGCAGGAAGTGTCTGGGTTTAGCTGCTTCCTTGGCCATTATTCCCAGAAAGGAGATGGATGAGTGTCCTCCTCCCACTCTCCACAGCTCAACAGGGACTGCAACAGAAGAACCCAGCAAGGAGCAGGACTCACTCACACTGGCCAGCATTTCCAAGGCTCCAGCTTGTTACCACACATACCCAGGGAAAGCTGACATTTATTTAATCCTCATAGTGGTGTTGACTGTGTATTCACTGAAACACTATGTGCTTACGGAAGACATTTGTTTCCAAGCAGCTTATGCTAAATTGCAGTGATATAAAGAAACACTTATCTAATATTGACATTTACTGACTTCTAGAAGTATACTGCCAGAATACTCATTTTTACCAGTGGAAAAGGAGGAAGGGTGGCGGGGTGGGGGGCATAGCATTCGATCCTCAGCTCCTTCTGGTTAAGAAGCAGAAAATGAATGAAAGATCATGATAAATGGGGGAGGGAGTCCATTGTGCAGGCCCACAGCCTTCCCGTGACCCTTAGCTCTGTGGCACAGAGTGGGTTCTGAGAAAAGGTGGAGAGTGAAGCTCTCCCATGCTTAATAATAAAGCTCTGGCAGAAGGGAGGGCACAGCATTCCTTGCCTGGCTGGGAGAGAAGTATTTTGCTGATCTATGAGGCATCTAGATTCTCGCTTGATGTGCACACCTAACTGGGTAAATTCTGGCTTTCCCCTTGGGAAAAGAAAATGACATGTGATGACATATGGAACAGCACTGTGTCTCAGTGCAGTCAATTCTCGCCTCATTCCCCTAACTGGAAATAAAATCCCACTCTGTTTGGCATACAGGGAGAAGCTATGCCAATGGGAGCTTAGGGTACTGGCTGGCTTTGCTCTTCCCTCCCTTGTGGATGGCAGCGATGGGATATGAAATCCCAGGGAACACACAGCCCCAGAGCAACAGTTCCAGCTGAACCCTGCTGTGTGAATCCTGGGGTGTCCGATGGCCTTGAGGGAGAACTGTTGCTCGGAGCTCACTTTAAAGTTAGGCGTACTGGGGTAGTGCCAGTCAAGTGTGGAATCCAGTATGTTCACGATCTCCCTGACCTTCTCTGCTGCTGAAGTAGAATATCCCTGCTCCTGGGCACAGAATGCATTCAGGGCTCCTAGATCTCCTAACTGGCCTGAACAAAAAATGCCTGCATTTTTTCCACCTAAATGTCATCTCAACATCTTACCAGGACAAGGAATTTCTGTAGCTGAAAAATGATGTCTGTGCCTGGCTCAGCCCCTCCAGTCTCCCAGATCTGCATTAAGACCTTAAAACTAGTGCTCTGGCCCTATTCCCTAATCCTCCATCACAAGCAAGCAATTTTCTTTTCTTCGTTTAGGTTTCCCAAACAGTTTATCTTTTTATCTCCTTGGAAGAAAAGTACTCGGCAAATCAAAGGTATCATTAGTATTGTTATTATTTTGCTATTGAAATCTCTTGAATTCACTCTGGATTATTCATGTGCTTTTTTGGGCCTGCAATATAATACTGCCTAAGTCACCCCCACTGGGCTTAACAAAAAAGAAAAATTGCATCTTCAGGCCTAATCCCCTGCTCCACCCGGTCTCCTGCTGGCACTGGCTTCCACCAAAACAGGCACACACCAGGCAGGGCTGCTCCTTGGTACCGTGCCTGACTTGCTGCTGCCATGTTCCAAGCCAGAGGCTCCTTTGTACACCCAAGAGGGAGGGGAGTCCATGGGAGCTTCTCAATGTGGTATGAAGGCATTGACCACACCCACACCCCCCTCCCCTGGGGTTTCTTTTTCATCTTCAATAGGTCTGGCTGGCAAATGAGGGCTCCCTGTTGGGCAGCAGACTCAGCCACACCCCCATATTCAAGAGGCATATCCGGGTCCCCACCCATAACCTTTCTTAAAGAAGTGGTCCCACGCCCTTGGCAGCTGTGCATTGACCTTCAGGGACAAAAGAAGTGATTCTTCCTCCCCTGGAAAAGATGTCATACTGCTTGGGTTGCTGATGCTCGAAGAATCATGCCACTTGCCTCATCTTTTGTTAGATGACATTTCTGGGTAAGGTTAAATGTTTCGGAAGTTGCTGCTCATTCTGTTTCCTTTTCTGCCTGCACCCCCTCTGGTCTCCTTCATTCTTGGGTTCCCCAATGTATTCATGCTGTCTTCTGATACCTGCTCTTTCCCTTTCCTCCCCAAGAGAGATCCTGGCAAATTCAAGCTTGTCCCAGTGGTTGTTCTTTCCATGTTTCCTGTCCTCCCCTGGGCTCTCTGCACCCTGGCCAGCTCTTCCCACCCACACTGTTCACACTTCTGGTTGCTTCATGCTCTTCTGTTCCCTTGGAGATTCAGGTTGCCATGACCCCTGCCATTTGATTCCCTCTTTGATGTCTCCTGCCAATCAGGAGTGCAAATGTGCTGCCTAGATTCTTCCCAATAGGGAGATGGTAGCCATATTAATCCTCCACTCAGCTATGTCATTAACAGGTAAATTCAAGTTTTCACTTTCACCCCGTCATGTTCAGAGGAGTAAGACACATGCGCAAAGCCAACAAGATACCTGGGTTCAGCAGAATTAAAGCCTTCTGGACCTCAAACGCTCTAGGCGGGACTGGATGCTCTGGGAATGGCAGAATAGAATGTCAGAGAGCAAGGAAATCACCTTTCTTAGTGTCTGAAGTAGAAAGCCACCAAGTCTGCACTGTTGCTTGTCCCCACATTGTCTCAGAACTTGAGACATGATGGGAAACTGGGAGTCTTCGGTCCTGCTGAGCCATTATTCCTCCAAAGCCACCTAAGAGGTGCTAGTGCTGGCCGAATGTGATGAGGCCTAAAGATTAAGGAGGGTATGGGAGGTAATAGTTGTGGATGAACTAAAATGATAAAGGGAAAAATACAGCAAGTTCTAAGTTTATGGATGACAAGAGAATCGATTCTTCTTCACCCAGGGGCAGAACATGCCGTTTCTCCACAGGAGGCAAATTGTGCTGTGACATTATCCCTCTCTGTACTAAGCACAACCATCCTGACAGCTGAGGGAAGAGGCATCCCCAGGAAGAGAGAAATCCATACGCACCACACACTAACAGCTCTCCATTCCCCTGCTGCCAGCCAAGCCCAGTGTTGTTGTTGGCAGGGGTGGGGACAGAGGAATGTCATTTAGCCTTTCTACTGCCACCTTAAGAAAGATAAAGACATATTTTGATCCTAATCTGCACAAAAGCCCAAACTTTAAAGAATAAGGACACTGACTTTAATTATACATTGACTTCTGCTTTCTTTCTAAAGGGTTATGGGGAAAAGTAAAGATCAGCAAATAGTCAACCACTCAAGAGAGAAAGTATGATTGAAATAGGCTTTAGGATTTACTTCCAGTTTTTCTGGTAAAGTCTTCAGAACACTGGAGTGCTTGCTCCCTCTGCACAGAAAGGGGGCCACGGGAGCAGGGAGCCCAAGAACTATGTTTCCAGAACTCCAAAATGACATGTAGCTTCCCTTTGGAAGAAGTGGTTGACTGCAGATGGCCATGTCACAGGATGGCCAGATATGAACCTAAAAACAACTTGGACACTTGTTCTCTCTGTAGGAAGGGTGCTCCCGAGCCTTGCACATTTCCTTGGAAAAGCATTATGAGAGGAGCAGCATGCTGGAGGCGGGGGTCAGGCAGGTGGCTCTATGATGGGTGACAGGTGGGGCTGCACCTTCAGTTCTCAGTCATGGGGATCATCTCGAGCCACACTGGCTAGTTATCTAGTGACCTCCTCAAAGTGGATACACTGTATCCAATAACTTGAAGCGTGCATGGAACTGGGTGGGCTGGGCCACAACAGCTAAGCATATGGGCAAAGAGCATCAAACAGTATCTCTGGGGAATTCACAATACTCCAAACAATGACCACATTTTTTAAAATGTCCAGGGCCAGGGATTTAGCTCAGTGGTTCCGCCACCTGCCTCAAAAGCGCAAGGTCCTAAGTTCGTTCCCCGGTACCAAAACTTCCCCCTAAAAACAAACAAATAAAAAATGTCCACAGATCAAGTCAGAAGATATGCATCAAACACCTTCTCTCTAGAGCTTTCATTGCTACAATCAGAAGCTGCCTATTCAAGAGACCTACAGTGTGTGCAGTGAAAGAGGCTATCTGACAAGAAATGTCCATTTGGGGCACAGAGTCTAGAGATCTGTTTTGGAGTCTGATGAACTATGTGCCTATGGCTTGGAGTGGTGGATAGTTCTGGCCAAGCTCAGAACACTCAGGAATCACAAAGCACTGTGAAGTATATGATGCTGTGGTCTCTTCCTCGTGTTCTGTGAAACACAGCATTTAACCTCTGAAGGTAAATATTTAACGATTCATATGCAGCAGTCAAGAAATAGTTTGGTACTCAGAGAGGATGAAACAAAGTGAAAGGTGCACAGGATAATGATTCTGAGAGGCAGAGTGGCATTTAGATGTCTATAGGCTTCTTATGCCAATCTAGAGAAGAATCACAGATAAAGCTTCTAAATACACAAAGAGCTGGCTAAAACTTACATTAGTCTCATGAAAATGCATGTGTATGAGGCAGGGTAGGGAGAATGGATGGAAGATTCCCTCCTCTCAGGGATTCTACATGCAACTTTCTGAGGGAATTGTTAACAGGCAAAGAAGAACAGGAGTTAGTATCACATATATGTGCACGTGTGTGCCTAGAAGCAAGTCCGCACATATCCAAGAAAGGGTAATCTCACAAAATGGTGACATAACGGAACCTGTCTCCATACTAGTGTTCTGGGATAGCTCTTATTCATTCAGCCTGAAAACTCTCGGGAAGGCAATTTATCTTTCTACTGCTGTAGGCAGCCCTGGTAAGACACACACAGCCATGAATACATGAGTGTGTGAGTGTGTTTACATACAACCACTATCAACACACACTCACATGGGGGGTGTCAAGTTTCATCAGGAGGATCAATAGCAAAGTTTGAACTGTATGAATAAGGGAAAAATCTTAAATAAGTGATCAGAAGAATCAGTGGAAGAGTGAAGGCAGGAGGCTGGGTTTTTGCTTACATTTGGCTTCTTCTTGACGGGGGAGTGAGGGATACATGCTGTTTGCTTGCAGAGGCAGCCACCCATGCTGAGGCTCTGCTTTCTCAAAAACTTTTACCCTTCATTTAATCAACAGATGGATGTGTTCTGTTGTGGATTTTTCTGAGAGAGTCCTGTCCCTCTAAGAGCTGTGCTAGCTGGCACAAATGCTGCCTCAGATGGCAGAGGCAGTACTGGCATTCCAAAGAGTGGGATGAAAGCAATTCACTTTCCCCTTCAAACCCAATTCCACAGGTAACTTTCGATGCTTTTGGCTAAGTAGACACTCGAACCCTTTCTTCAGAATTCCCCTTCCCTCCTTCCACCTTGGCCAGCCCATGACTCCCAGTGGCAGGGAGCCCAGAGGTGGCAAAGTTCTTTCCCAAGAAAGTCCACCCCTGTCTCACCATGGCTAGGCTGCAGAAAGGAAAGAATTGGCACCAGGCACAAATCCAGTGCTGTGTGGGTCTCAGAATTCAGCCTTATTCAGGGAGCTCAAGGACATTCAATGAAACTCTTTACAAGCTTCCCCTAACCACTGCAAGTTACCCCCACAACGCAGCAGTAATATGCAACCCCCCTCTGCAACTGTGCAAATGGACATATTTCCTATTGAACGCTCAGGCAAGTTAGACCTTATTGGTGCTGAAACAGCCACCCAAACAATGTTCCCCTTCCCTGCCGCTCTCCCCCAGCCTGGGAGTAAAAGAAAGGAGATGCCCAGAAGTTCAGACGGCGTGGCCACAGACATACTACCTAATTAACACACCGGGAGCATAAAGAACTCATTTGCATTGGAGAGTTGGAGTTGGATGTTGACAAGTGATCAGAGAAAGTCGCCTCCCTCCCCTGCCCTTCCATCCCCGTCCTTCCAAAGGAAAATAAACAATACCATTTTGTTGCATTTGCAAAGGCAAAGCAGCAAACAGCAGTGCCTCTCCGTAGGCACCGAGAGACGCATCAATCAGCCCGAGTTTCCGAAGCCTGCCCACATTCCTGCTCTCTGCCTCCCGCGTCCTGACAACCCAGCGGACTTCGCTCCAACTCCAGCGGCGCACGGGTCCTACCTTGACTGAAAAGGAAGAAGCAGAGGAAGAGCAAGTCGAGCTGGAAAGGTTTCATTCCTCAGCGCAGCGTGGGGAAAGCCGGCGGGGCAACTTGGTGTGCAGTTAGTTTCTCTTCCTCGGTGGCTCTCGGTGCTCAGCCTCCGCCGCGGATCCTCTCCGGTTCGCGCAGACCATCTGCCTGTCTGTCCCTCCGTCCTTTTGAGTGGCTTCGGGCTCTTTGTGCCTCCCGGTCTCTGCAGCCAGCCAACACAAATCCTCTGCTTTTAGCCGCCTCGGGAAGCCGGGATCCTCAGCAATGTTGCCCCTCGGAGCAGGTCCATTCTCTGGCTCTAGGCATCCCAGGCACAGGGCTCCCTCCGGCGGGCTCCTCCCACAGCGAGCGAGCGAGCGAGTGACGAGTGACAGAAGGGCTCCTTTCACAGAAGCTGGGGTGGGAGGGGAGAGGGGGAGGGGAAACAGGTCATAATGAAAGAGGAAACACTTGGAGAGAGATCTTTGCAAAACGAAGGATGGGGGAAAGCCTGTCTTCTCTCCTTTTCCCTAATAGGGGATATTCAGCTTTTGTCACCATTATTGGCCAAAAAGCATCGTGAGCACGGAGCGGAGCTGTGACTTTTTGTTCACAAGACGTAATGTTGTCTAACGGGAGAGAAGTTAAGGAGGACTATATGCGTGCACATGCGTTAGACTGTGCATGCCTTGCCTTTACGCCAGGACTGGAAACTGGGCTGAAAGGAGCTAGGGAGAGGCGGGAGGGAGGGGGCGCATCTTCCCTCAGCAAGGATTTGGCCGATGTATGCAGTGGGAGACTTGGGAGTTGAAGAGAGAAGCATGCTTTGCATTTTTGAGACTTTCCTAGGGGGTAGGTAATATAAACTGAATGCTTGGATATTAGTTTGCTTTGCACTGCTCCTGGAAAACAAAATGTGGGAGTGAGAGGGAAAACAAGTAGGTTTGTGACACATACGCATTTATTATTATTGTCCTGGTCCATGCATTTCTTAACAAGGACAGGGAGAAGCCTGTCTTTGCATTTGGAGCCTCTCCCCTAATGAACACTCCATCACTCTGTGTGTGTCTTTTCTCCAAAAGGTGCTATGAGTCTGACTGGGAAGGAGAGGCCAAGGTCACAGGCAACAGCCTCCTAAGAACTTTCAGGTCTGTTACCTGTCATGAAATACACACTCAAATCAAACTCTATTTCCTCCAGGATATCAACATGAATTTATCTAGGTCTATTTACTCGATAGACATTTAGGCATGCCTGGAATAAGCAAGCCACTGGGGGGAAAATAAAATAGTAAGCAGAGCATACCCTCAGGAGCTCATAATCTAGAGTGGAAGCAGAGTATACACACAAGACATAAACTATACGGCTATTACAAAGCAACATATAAAAACATGCACCGTTATGTGGAGCAGGTGAAGGGGTGGGGATGAGAATGAAAGATGCTCTCAGTGCGGGCCACTCAACATTCAATTATAAAATCAATCATTGCTTCCTCAATCTCTGGACCTTCTGGAGGTCTTTTGGGAACCTCTTAGCGTTTTCTCCATCACTATCACAGATGAGGGGACTTTGCTGGCTACAAGGCTCCTTCCAACTCTGATTTTCCTGTGGATGTTAACGTCAGAAAGCACCCCTTGGAATTTATGAACAAGAAAGAAGTAGGGGCACACGCAAAAGTGTGTGCTGGTAGGAGCTGACACCTGGTAGTTGACATCAAAGATTACAAATTAGTAGGTGTCTGCTTTGTTGACTTTTTTATTCATAACTTAATAGTTTATTTAACTGCATCCCTTAAAGGCTGTTAAACATATCAAAGGGAAATCTGTAAGCAAGCTAGGTAGTGGTGGTGGTGGGGATGCTGAGCAAGAGAAAGTTAAGAGAAGACAAAAGAGGCAACCCATCAGCTATATGAACTAACAAGGTACAGGAGCAATGTGTCAGCATAGCCTTGGTCTATTAGCTTTGTATAACCAACTGACAGTGCAATGAAACACAAGAGGTGAATCAGTAATATGCACAAAAGAAGAAAAATTTCAAACAATGCATGCCAAATAACAATATTAAGCCTGAAAATACTGTATGTACAGTGTTTGAAGCTTTAGGAGTAACTTTGCACTAAATCTACAGGGCAAGGGAAAATGAAAGGTCAAGGTATCACGCCTATGGCTAAGTCTTGCAGTGAATAAAACTAATATTAGAATGTAGATGGTACCTGCCCAAGCAAAAGATTTATCTATTAAGCCGTTATTTAATTTTGACTGTTAATTCCTAAATGGCCCGGAGCCCAGATTTGTTTAATTCAGCCCAGGGGAAGTACAGTATTACAAAACGCGGGTCATAGGGCTAGAGGACTGCACTACAGGGCAATCGGGCACTCGTAAGCGGAGCACGCTCACACACTTAGTCCTAGAAAGGAGAACAGTCTGGGAGTGTGTGTGTGTGTGTGTGCGCGCGCGCGCGCGCGTGCGGGGAAGGGGGGGAGAGTCTGAGGTTGGAAGGACCTGTTTTCCTCTCCCACTGATTTCTGAGACTGGCCTCCCCCGAATGGTTCCAGACCCCCACAGCCAGCTGGGCCTGTTCCCTTCTCCGTCCCCCTCCGCTCCCTCCCCGCAGCCTCCGGTCTCCGGCAGGAAGGGAAAAAGCTTGGATTAAGTGATGAGCTGCCCGCCTCTAAAAGGACCGAGCAAGAGGCGTTTCAACCCTGAGTGCCGGAAAACCCACAGCAATCTTCGGCGGCCACCACGTGGGGCAGGGAACGTGAGCGGTACCTGCAGGACCCACAGCCGGCCGCGCTCTGGCGCCAGGCCCGACGGCGGCCCCGCCACCTCCGCCCGGCCTCACCTCCTCCGGGGGCTCGGTTAACCTCTTGGCGCTGCGAGGTGGCCTGCGCGCGGTTCGCTCGCGAGGAGGGAGGAGGCAGCGCGGAGTGCACGGCTCCACCTGATGGAGAAGCGCGGAGAATCCTCAGACCTTGGAGAGCACTGAGAGGGAAGCGACCTGCTGGAAACTTCCGCCCTCCGGGGTGGGGGGGTGGCGCTCGGGGTTCGGGGTCTCTCAGCACAGCCAGCAGAGCTGGCAGCCCCAAGGAGACGGCGGAAAAGCAGCAATTTGGAAAACCGCCCAAATTCTGGTTTTCTGCGCATCCAGGCTCCAGGTCTCTGTAGCTCCCGCCATGCAAACCGGGGTCCCTCGCCAGCAGGTGGCATCCTCTCCAGCGTTTCTTCTCCAGGCTTGTAGCCCAGGAGGTCGACTTCCTCAGTCCCTATGCCTCTGCCCAGGCCTTCAGGGCCGAGTATTGTGTCCTCTATACCCCTCTCCCTTACCCCCTCCAATTTGGGGAGCAGGAGTGGAATTTCGAAGAGCAGAGTGGAAATTGGAGCCCACAGAGAATGAGAGCTTGTCCCAGACTCTGCGGATTGCTGGCCAAGAATTTACAGAACGTCAAGGCTCCCCCAACAGTATCCAAGCCCTGTTCTCTGGGCAACAAGTGTGGCCCACACGGGTTTCTGAAATCTGAAACAAAGAAGGAGACTCAAAGTTCTGGGTTCTGTGCAGGAGTAAAGAGCACTGTTGTTCCGTGCCCAGAGAAGGCTGGTGTTCAGATAGACCTCACAGAACCTGGCTCATCCCCAGGTCTCATGGAGACTTTCTTCGTGGCTGTCAGTCCAGAATCAATAGCATTCATTATTCTGTTAGTTTGTGCAAAGGGTCGTTTGGGTGCTTACAGACATGTGGAATGGATATATGAATTTTCACAATTGAAAAGTGTGTCTGCTACGTGGGCAGAGGTATACACATATGCACAACTGGAAAAAAATATAAGATGTCTTATTGGCAATTTAATAAGATGGAGAAATTGCCCTGGAGGTCATCTGTCTGAACCTTCCTTTCTAGATGGGACCTTCTAGGTAGAGTTGCCTGAGGCTTTGCAGGAAGCTGCAGGGCCCCATCCTTGAGCCAGTGTCTGGGCTGTCATCCACCTCTGCCTCTGCAGATGCTGGGCCTAGCTTCCTCTAGCTGTCTTGTGTGTCCCTGTGTGCCATTACTAAGATAAAGATAGGGAGTGGCTCTTCTGTGAGACAGGCCGTTGTCACCAGCAGAGAATTTCCTCTTTAACATTTGTTGCACAGACACATTATAAACCACATTCTCTTTTTGTTTTTTATACATCCTGCCTGTACTGGTTAAAACCTTACCCAGAGATTTAACAAGTTTTGAACAGGCCTCTGGTGGGAGTTCAGGGTAACCTGACTCTCTGCTCCTGGATAAGTTAATAAGGGCACCAAACTACATACACTTCCAGGGACCAAATGGTCTGCAGAGGGCTTCTCTGGGTGGCAGCTGTCTGACCTTGGCAGTCACAATCTTCCAGTTTATTTCTTTCTCATTTCTCTGAACCAGATTTCTTGTTCACATTCAATGATGGCTAAACTTTTAGAGCTTCCATTGATAAACAGCCTGCTGTAGCATGCATGTCATAGGTTCACCATCACTAGTATAGGCAGATTAGATGACTTTAACCTTTTGACTGTGGTTGGTGTCTTTTTTTTTGGTACCAGGGATTGAACTTGGGACCTTGTGCTTGTGAGGCAGCGGAACCACTGAGCTAAATCCCCAGCCCTATGGTTGGTCTCAATTGAAGTGGAAAAGGCGAGAACCACCAGGTATTTAGCATTTTAGAAGCATCCCCAAAGAGCAAGATGTCTGTTTCACTGATTCATCCAAGACAGGGGCCAGTTCAGGGGGTTCAGGAGAACCTTTGAGCCTGAATCTGCCTAAACCATTGCTAGCTCTTGTGGACATTTAACGAACCTGGGCACATGTTTCTTCACCTATGAAGTGACTGGTTTGAGCCAGTGGATCTTTGAGGTCCTCCTCAACCCCTAAATCCTACTGTCTATTTTTCACAGGCCACAGCTTTCAACATGGAAAGATTTGGAAGAGCTTCTCTTAATGTCATCCCGATTAAGGCAGAATATTTTGAGTGATCAGTTCCTACCCCCAAGAAAACAGGTAATGGCCTTGAAATCTGCAGTTCTCATGAGTCTTGGTGTTCCCTCACACTGTTCATTTCCATTCTACTCTGAGTGCCTTCAGTCTGTCCCCAGTTTACTCAACCTGTGTGTTTCCATTCTTTATTTTTCTCAGCACCACACTCACATCCATGCTCACAGCTTGGATTCTGGGATCCAGGATACATTTTCTTCAACATACATCCTATCATTGCATTGGATACAAACCTTTTATTAGTGTAGGAGGATGATGATGCCTGAATGGCTAAACGGAAGACTTCATTTAAAGGCAATGAAATCCTTGGTGCTTTCTCAGTCTTAATGTGAATGATATTTTAATGTAAAATGTGTCTAATCATGTATCTTCCCTGATAAGCTGGCAGTCCTATAAGGATAGGAAGTGTTTCTCTAGTTCACCTGTGTCCCCAGCTCATACTCTGGTAGGCAGAACACACACTAGTGAATGAACAGCAAAGCTTTACCTAGTGCCCCACATCCCATTTTCTGTTTTCTGAATCCAATTTAACTTATTCTTCACTCTGTTATTAAACCATTGTCAAATATCTGGCATGTGCCTGGCATTGCTCTGGCTGTCTTTTATGGGGCTGGGTAATGAAATGAGCCTATGTATAGTTCGCAAAATGTGGAACACACTTTAAAATGCATGGCACTATAGAAATGAAAGATATTTTTATCTCTTTGGCATCATTCTGCACAAGAATACGATTCTCTGAGAGTACTGCTAAAGAACAATAGACCTGTTTAGCCTTGACACACTCATGCATGCAGGGCACTGGGTAGTCAATTCACTCGGGAGCAGCATTATCTCTCTCGGCAAAGGCCTGAAGAGTGTACACTTTACAGGGGAAAAAAAAGGTATGAGAAATGTTATGAAAGGAGATGGCGGTGCCCCAGTGCCTTGCCTCATTGCTGGCTAAGTATATGGGCAGGGACCTGCATCCAGGCTCTGGGGATGGCACCAAAGGCAAGCCTCAGCATCCCTCCTCAGGGCTTGGAACAGGTCGAGTATCATTTCAGAGTATGCTATGTGCTCTTTTTATGTGTAAGAATAGGCTAATTATGTGGAAAATATTGGAAGACAGTGAAATTCCAGTTATATGGCTCATTTGTGGTATTCAAAGTAAGAGAAATTACACTGCGTTTACTCTTTTTCTCTGGTATTCTTTTCTATGTCTCTCCCCCACCTATTGCTCCAACCCCCCCCCCCACTCTAGTCCTGTATTATAAATTAGTAAATTTTTATGGCAGCCAAGGGAACAGCTGCATCTCACTCCAAGTCCCTGTAAGACAAAGTTTACTCTGTCTTTTCTATTTATTGCACACTATGTTCTTCCTTTCTATCCTCACATAATAAAATTATATGTATCCAGATATATGCATATAAAAGTTATAACGTACAAAGTTATATAAGTTTATGTATATACAAAACTTTACACACTTACATATACACATACGTAAGTTTTCAATAAATAGGCTGGCAATGTGCTTCCTGTTCAAATACTCCAAACTCCTCATCCTATACCAGGTTTCAGTCACCTCTATTTGAAGGAATACATCTTCAACTCATTGGGTAATCTCCAGATTAACAAGACCCCCCTCCACCATCTAGCTGCATCTACCACATATGTCTGTTTGAAATTCAGTATCTTCTCTCTGTGCTTAAAAATGTAGATGGTCCCCATCTTAGTTGGCTCAGGCTGCCATAACAAAATTCCATACTCAGGCTAATGGCTCAAGTAACAGAAAGTTCTTATCTCCCTGTTCTAGAGGCTAGCAGTCCAAGACCACAGTGCCAGCATGGACAGGTTCTGGTGAGGGTTTTCTTCTTGTACTGCAGACAGCTATCTTCTCATTATGTACTCATTTGGCCTTTCCTTGGGTGTGAGGCATCACTGTCTTTATAAAACCACCAAATCTACTGGACTTGGGCCTCATCCTTATGTCCTAATTAAACCTCAATCACTTCCTACTCTGTCTCCAAATTCAGTCACGTTTGAGGGCTAAGGTATTAACATATAAATTTTAAGGGGATACACAATTCAGTCTATAGCAGTCTCCACTGTAAAGCATAAGTTTTAAAATCATAATGCATAGGTTGGGTCAAAGCAGCATGCCTTTCCTGTCTCATCACTAGCTTCCTCCTTTACAGCCCAAACCTTAGTCTTGCCAAATTGCTTTATTAATTAGACATAGCAGCCACTTTTGCTTTGCCATATTTTCTCATACTATTTCCTTTTTCTGGCATGCTTTTCCTCCTTCATCTATCCTGTTGTCTAACAAATGGATGCTCCTTGGTGCAGAATTGCCTAGAATGCCATGCTAGTCGACTTTCCCTTACTGTAACAATTATTAAAATTAATCAGATTAAAATGGAAAAAGGTTTCCTTTGTTCACAGTTCTGGAGGTTTTAATCTATGGTTAACTGGCCTCACTGTTTTTACCTGTGGCAAGGCAGCACTGCATGGCAGGAACACATGACAGGACAAAAATGCTCCCTCATGAGCCAGGTGGCAAAGAACAGGAAGGGGCTAGAGTCCCCCATCCCTTTCAAGGGCTTGCCTCAGTGACCCCAGAACATCCCACTAAGTTCCATTACCTCCCATAGCACCACCCTAGGCACCAAACCTTTAACACATGGGCCTTTGGTAGACATTTATCCAAATTGTAGCAAATGCTGTTCATTAAAAAGTTCATTTCACTTCTTTTTCCTCTCAGTCAAAAATGAATAGGTTTCTATAGCATTCTTATAATCTCTTGTTATATAGCTTTTAATACTGTAACTATTTATCATCTACTTTCTAAACTACATGTGAGATCTTCAAGGCCAAGGACAATTTTTTAAAAATTTATATTTGCATATCCCAGATTATAGAGAGTTCATTGCCTGGGACACAGTAATCGTTTGTTAATTGGAGTTTAAAAGAAATAAGATTTAGTTAACACTTCTGGTATCCTTCCTGTGATCATCCAGTCTCAAGTCTGAAACTTTATTCGTTCATCATCTGATGTTTCTAGATGCAATTAGATCCAGGAAATGCATATCTATCTTCTGGAACTTGGTGCATCTGAAGTGCCAGAGAGACAGATTTC